GAGAGAGAGAGAGAGAGAGAGAGAGAGAGAGAGAGTGTGTGTTTGCTAAACGTGCACAGAAGACAGTGCAGAGATCAAGCACCTTCATTGTGCTTGTGGCAGCTGACAACTGTTCTCAACAATTTCATTCACCGTTAGTCATCCCCACTGCTGTTTGAAATCTGCTATACATGTCAGTGATGAGTGATATGTGGCACGCGGGCATGATAATGACTTGTGATTCTGAACTAAATCAGAACATCACACTTTACAAACCAAACAAGGATGCATCCAACGTTTGGTGAGAATAGAGCTCAACAGCATGGTTTAAAAATGTTCATCCATAAAATTTGAACCATCCAAGGTAGACTTACCACCAGCTACGAGATTGTGAGAGGATGTTATATGCTGCTATAGAAGCTGCAAGTCCAAATGATATCAGCTATATTTGAACTAAAACTGTTTTATTTGCAACGTCATGGAGAAGTACTACACTACTTATTGGTGGAGTTCGCTTTTACCATGGAAATGTTGATCACAACCATTGAAATCATGTTGGCTAAAATATGATAGTTCAGCATTCAGGGGACTCATTCTTGTCACATCGTTAATATCTTCACCACTAGAAGGCGATACTTAGAAGTAGAATACGAGATTTGTGCATCTGCTTGGTCTGATGTCATATCCTGTCTGAGGTGAGCACTGATTTACCATTTTTCACACTTATAACTAAGATCAGCAAACATGGCAGTTCGGGGCAACTTGTCTTAGTGATTTCTGGGTATGTTGTCACATTTCTCAAGTAACTCTCTAGAGTCATTCTTAAAGTGGGAGGTTTGTATTACGCTCTATCACAGCAACGTAGATAAAGTACGAGCTGTATCTATTTCAATGCTGTGCTATTAAGTTATGTTTCGCACATATACACTGCTTCAATAACTTCTTTCCATTCAGGCTTTTCACTTCCATCTTTCTCTCTATTTTTGCATTTTCTAAGGACCTCGCACCAATCTGAGATCATCATTTAAAGAGAGTAAATGAGCGTGTGTGACCCTTCATAGCTGCTGTCACCATTATTACGCTCGACGTCACTCCACAAATCGATTGCTCGTCTGCCACACCGGCTCATTCTTGTCCATCACGCTGCCGCTCTGTGTCCACGGAGGAAAATGAATCACGTCGCTGTCAGATTTCCATTAACTTTTCACAATACCAGGGATATCAACATGGACTATGTCGCATCATACATTTTTTCTAATCAGTGGAATAGTTTGATACACACAAACATTGAATGCACCATTGTTGCCACGTACATCTTCATCAAGTTGTGAAAAGCATATTTGATGTCCATGATGTCTTCTATGAATCTCTTTGAGGCACGTTCCCAATTTTTATGTGAAGGCAGCTGAAAATTGTCTAAGTATCATCTCAATGGTGCAAAATGCATCCTGTTTGTCATTGATAGTTTTGTAAAATATTTCAAAATTTGAATGTCACTGCTGTGAGATTGTATTCGTGGATGCTCGCATCGAGCCCACACAAGTGAGGAAAAACCTTGTCCAGCTCTGAGGGGAAGCTGTTCTGATTTGGAACAAGGACCTGCAGGCTGTGTGCACTTCATGACACATTTGACTGCCTTGCTGCAGACAGGCATCTGAAGGAGGCACACCTTGTTCACTGCACAAAACAAATGTCAAGAAGTTATCTGGGATGCTGTGCAGTACAATTCATCATACACCAACGGGAGATCATTACTTTGGAGATGATGGTTACAGAAACAAATGAGGGGGTTTAAACAAAGCACCATCTTGAGTCCCTGAACACAAAACACTTTATTCCTGATAAAAGGCATTTAGACAAAAATATTAAAAAAAAAAAAAAACTGCTTTCTGCTTTTCATACCACGCCCTCTCTCCCACCACTTCCTTCTGGACTCCATCATCCGGTTTGTTTGTATGTCATTATCTCTGCATCTCACACTCTGGTTTCACGCGGCCTGTTGAGAGTTGAGGTGTTTAATGCGTACCTGTGCTGTGTGCAAAGCAACCACTGCGTTCTTTTTCCATTCCGACTGCTGTGACCAGAGCCGCTGCCTGTTGTAGCCTGTCAGTCAACAGAAAGTGTTTTTCATTCAGCGCCTCCATCGACTGTTTGAGGAGGTGGGGGCACTTGGCTTAGTGGCAAGGTTTGGATGACATTTACCATGCTGGATTAGCCACTATGTCCGTGACATTTACGAATACCTTGGTCTTATAGGATAGAGCCGTCTTTTCTCTGATAGCTGCAGCAACACGAGGGGCCAGCTGGGATAGAGAGTCATACACTGCATATGAATTAAACAGAGAGGGGGGGTTGTAATTTATATAGTCTACAGAATGTCTGATATACTGTGTGAAAGAAAAAAAAATGAAACCTTAATATTCATGGGTAGAATATGAACCTCATTAATAATTCATCCACTGTTTTTGCAGCATATCTAATAATAGCCTCTGCCACGCTAGTTAACTTTTCACTTGAATTACTTTAATGTTGCTGTTGACGAACCTGCTCACCAGCCTTTATATTGTTGGTAAAATAACAATACTGATGTGTTATGAGTGATGTTACACAAGAGGTGGAAAAGTTGAACTTAACAGTGTTTTCACATATTTACACAGGGGTGTTTAATATGGCAGGCCATAGATAATAAGACAAATATTGTAAAGTTAACGTCAAGGTAATGAACTCATTCCAATGTAAACCATCACTAAACAAAATAATAAAACTAGAATAGTATTCACTGGAGTGCATACACTGGAGTGCATACAGTCCCTTAAATTCAATCAACCTGCACACACTGATAGACATCAGTTCCCCAAACATGCCTCATTATCATCTCATGAATTATTCCCTGGAAAAATACAACGTTTATGCTTCAGATGTGGAGAAACATTTGCCCCCTATATCACATCCCCCCCACCAACATTCATGGAAATCCATTTAGTTTTAATTGTGTAATTTTGCGCACAAATCAATCAACAAACAAGCGTAATAAATGAAAACATTACCTCCATGTGGGAGGTGATAAATAAAATCAACATAAAGTTGGTTACATAGTTTGTGCATTCACTACTGTCACTACTGACAAAGTCTTCATAAAGAACAGATGTGTTTCTCTCAGGTAAAATCCTCGGTCTCGATACACCCAGACCTTCTTTAATCTCGCCTTCAAATCTCCTCCCATGTGCACAGACAATCCATCCAACCCGACCTCGCAGACTGGACCTGATCAGTCTTGAGATAGCACTGCATGAAATTATGCATTTAACTACATGCAGATACATTAGACAGATAGCATGTGCAGGAAATTAATATGATGTAAATGAAGTATAAATTGAAGCAGCGTACTCCAATCTGCCTCAATCAGTTGAGGTATTTGCAATAATAAAACCTCTGGAATTTGAATCAGAGTATTTTCCTCTCACAACCTGCAGCTGCTCAGTTCCTCTGGTCTGCAAACAGAGAACATGCTGTAATCCAGAGCCAGTGGTCAGACATCACACTCCACCCACACCTCCAGTGCTGCAGGCTTCCCTTCTGTCGTTTGGCTCTTTGAACTGAAAATAGCACTCAAAATAATTGGTGGACTATAGAGTTAGCCTCTTTCTAAATTTGCATTGAGCCCATAGTTTCATTGCAGTGTGGTTCAGAGTTTGTGATTGAAAATTAGCTTGAGGGTTGAACCCTGCACCAGCTGCTGTTATAATGAAACTCATCACAGTTCAAAGAATTAATTTGAAATTCTGGGAAATACCTTTATTGTAACTTTATAACTAAGGGGAAGAGTGATAGCACTCTTGTGTCTGCTCGCTAAATATAACTCTGTAACCAGCAGCTGTTTAACATAAGAAAAGTGTAAAAACAGCAATTTGTGATTCTGCAACACTGCATACAGATATGAGACATTTTCGTCTCATTCCAAGCAAAACATACATGTATCTCTGATCTGCACAATATCTACTGACCACTAATACTGACCAGCTTCTAAAAGACAGGACCGTTTTGGGAATCATTTGCTTTGTCGTTAGGTTTGTATTCACACATTTGTATTTATACTTCCTCCGACATATTTTATCACATCAGTTCATTCTTGAGCCAAAAACAGAGCATAAGGAGACTGAATATTGGATTTATTCATCTTGTGAGCAGACACACAACTTCTAATGTGCCCCCATAATAGCTAAATGTGCAAATGAGAAACACATTAAACATTGCAAGTTGAAAGGTGACGACGCGTCAATGTCTATATTGTGTTCACAACTTGTTTCTCTGCCTCCAAGTGGCTTCAAAAATCAGTAATTACAAGTTGTGTGCTGGTGAAGCATTGGTATGTAAATGAAAATGTGTGACAAATGTTTCTGCCCTACACACGAGGATTATAGCAGCTTTTGAAAGTTCTGGCCAGGAGGAAAGAGTAATGGTGCTTAGGGAGTTATCAGTGTTTCCCTCACAGTCAGTGTGCACACAGGAAGGCTAATTAGCTTTGATTAGCCAGAAGCCATTGTAACATATTTCATTTGTCAAGAGCATGAGAGAAAGTAATAAAGGAGAGAGCGTTGGTTCTCCTCTCTCTCCAATCTTCTGTCTGCACATTTGTTTTACACTCATGCTGATGCACACGTACTCTCACACACAAGCACAGAACTGAACACTATTTTTTGGTTGCAAGCCTGTTCTCGAGGAGAAACCCTGATGTTCCATCTGCAGAACATCACCCACTGGCTACAGATTCTTATTTGCATAGGAGTGTGTGGCCAGATGGTAAAGCCACATGTCATTAGATGGGAAGACTGAATGTGCATGAGTGTCTGTGCATCTGAGAGAGAATTGGGACACACTACATCAGCAGCAAACAATCTAGATTGATAAATACACATCTTGTGTTTACATCGGTTATTTCAATGTATTTTCAATGTCCACAGAAACTTTGCCCCTCACTGAAAACATTATAACATGAGCAGGGACATTTTTTTTAAACTTCATATACAGGACACAGAATTAACATGTGTTACTCTCACTGTTTAAATTGTTACATTTTCATTTGCTACTGGATTAAAAACATTTTCATGATTATTGAGCAAGATTTCATATTAAAGTTTATGAGCATTTTTCCCACAGTGGGCACCATCTTGATTCGCTTTGTCCTGAAACTTCCATCTACCCCTTCGTTTTTAGGGAGTCCTGAATACACTAAGGGGTGTTTAAATGACTGAATGACCACTACCCCTACATCACAAAGAGAAATGGGACACTAGCCATTCACAGCCACATGCAAAACGATGGAGTAGGGCCCAGTGGTAGGACTAAGGGGTGAAATGGGAAAGGGCTTAGCCTGCAAGTGACTTAGAAACATTTCAGTGTGGCTGAGTAGAGGCAGGAGCTTTGAATCAACCAAGCAACTTGTTGTCTGTCATGACTCTGTCAGGCTCTAAGCTCTTGGATTAAGAGTTTTTTTGGTTCGGATTATGGACTTCTTTTTGGTTATTTCACTTTTACCTGTTTCCTTGTTTACAGATTTGTGTTCATTCTATGTTTCTTGTTTTATTTTGAAATACTGATCTCCCTCATGTTTTTGTTGACATTACTTCCTGTCTTAATGTGTTTCACCTGTTTGTCCTCTGCCACCTGTCTCCAGTTTGTCATCAGTTCAGTTTGTATTTAAGTCCTCGGTTCTGTCTTTGTCAAGTCGTCTGTCTAGTTGTGGTCTTAGTCTCTGTCAGTTTTGTCTCAGGTTGGTTTTTTCCTTCGTGTTTTTTCTTGGACAGTTTGAGTTTAGCTATTTGTTTCTTGCTGGACCACCTGCTCTCTACACAAACTCTGACACTGTCTCTCCGTGTTGTTTAGGAGAATCTAAATCCTGCAGCTGATTTCCCTCTGTCACTTCTTGCCAGAACTCTAGAAGAATTTTGATAAACAGCCAGTCGTGCTGTCAGTGATCTTTTCAGTATGTATTCAGATGGCCTGTGGATGCAACATCTGAAAAGCAGTTTTCCCCCCTGAAATAATCATCACATGATGACATGAATCACAAGGCTGTGTGTCTGTGTATCTTGTCATATTTCTACTTTTAATCAAGAGTGGAGTGAAAAGGAAATTGGCAGATAAATAAAGCCATAGGTGGTAAAACAACAGGAAAAACAAGATGGAAAATGATTGAAAGTTGTAGATAGACTGTGAATGGAGGCAGCAATGAGTGAAAAAAACACATGTTGCAACAGATCCACGTAGCTGATGTAGTATCATTTCCTTTGAGGAACTGATGCTGGTGTATTTTTCCAAGGATGAAGGCTTGAGTGTGTTTGGTTGCACCTTCTTCTGCAACTGTGTCAGTGAAATTTGAGCATCTGTGTTTGTGTGCGATGGTTTTGAGGCACACACGAGTGCCTCTAATCCTCAGGATACAGACACAGTCACCCAGCAAAAAGTGTGATGTCTAAGCAGGGGGTTAAGTGAAGATAAGAGAGGAGGCAGATAACATGGACTTTATAGGATATGATCCAGTGGAGCCACTAATGGCTGAAGGCACAGACTATTGGCTTTCTGGCTGCAGGCTGCAACACTTTTTTAAACTCTGTATTGATGACAGGGGACTTGTACTTTGATAGTGAAAATTTATCCACATCAGCTTCAGCTCTCTTGAAATTCCTCCATTTATAGGTAACAGAATAAAAATACTTTTTATGGTGTTTTTCTGGATTTTTTTGTCCAACCAATAGAATGACAGATGTAATGTTGACCAATGAAACTGCCCCGCCCTTTTTGTAGCCTCAATTCTTTGAGAGTGCTGTACTGGCAATTACTATAACACATCCTCCATGGCTTGTACTCTAAATTACATCTTTTATGTAATGGGAGCCCTGTTGCTAGCCACTATAAAGAATTGTCCTGTCTATTTGAAAGACTTGGTGCTCAAAAAAATCCAAGCACAAAAGAAGAGAGCAGACGTTTTACATGTGCACAAAAGCAGCATGAGCTGAAGCTGGAGCGCATAACATCTTTGCAACAAAATACCTGAGTGTAAGTGCACATTGAGTTTTGGTTTGGGTTTTGAGTGAAAGAATTTCTAAATCTGGACGTGAAATCAAAAGGTCCTGCTCTGAAATTGAAAGACCACACCCTCCTGAATAAAGATAGGTTACTTGATCAATAAACACAGAATGGTTGTATGGACCACAACATAAAGCAGAACTGATGAAGTGGTTCAGTATAAGACGTTCACACTCTAACACCCCCTCTCCTGCTGTCTGTTTCTCTCTGCAACAGATGAGGACCACACGCTGCGGATCCTGCTCTACTCACTCATCTTCTTCCTGAGCGTGTTCGGCAATCTTCTGATCATCGTGGTGCTGACTCTCAACAAGCGCATGCGCACCGTGACCAACACTTTCCTGCTGTCGCTCGCCGTCAGTGACCTGATGATGGCCGTGTTCTGCATGCCCTTCACCCTCATCCCGAGCATCCTCAAGGACTTCATCTTCGGAGCTGCCATGTGCAAGATAGTGTCCTACTTCATGGGTGAGAGGAAATGTGTCAGATGTGAAGAACGACAGTAAATATTAAGAGTTTACCAACAGACCTCTGAAAGCTTTGTCACTGAATTAATCACTGTCTCTATACAGTAAAAGAGACTCGATAGTTTATCTTATGTTAAATAGCAGCTTGAAATGTTGGATATGTATATATCTATATGTATAAATCCAACATTTCATTTTGTTGATGCAAGTTTTAATTTTGCATAAGTTTCATCCTCAGAAAATGGCAGCGGACAAATGCAGGATATATAGTGAATAGGAAGTGACTGCACAGCCCAGATAACTGTAATAATGGTTTAATCAAATATTCACAAGACCTTTTTAACTCAACTTAATGGTCATCTGTTTTTAAATTGGATGAACTTTAGTGAACAAAGTAAATAAATCACCATGTTCTGTTAGTTATGTCTTTAATCAGGTTATAATTGCCTCTTCAGCTCTAATTAAAGTGTCATTATGCAAAATAATTATCAAACATTATTCTTATGTTGTTGTGACATTCACTGATTCATTGAGCCTTTTGACACATTTACTAAATTACAAATCATGTCACAGGATAGTTTCAGTATATTAACACAATTAACATATTTAATTGATAATGGGTTTGACCAACCAGTTTCTGAGGTCGGTGTCCTGTCGGTCACCTGAGCTGTTTTAAGAGAACAACACAACAGTTGAATCTTTATTTAACATGATTGAGATGCACTTGTGGAAAGGGCTGATATGAAAACACTCTTCTTTGACAAAGCACAGCAATATGTATCTTCTGAGATCTGCACAATGTGATATATGTTTCCTGAGCCATTTATAGCAGAAACTCTGTCAGAGGAATTTCTCTCTGCTCTATGCAGCTCAGTCACATTTCAGTCCTTTGTGGTGCAGCACTTACAGACAGGGGGTCAGTCGCCCTTTAATGGAGGTGAGAAAGCATTTCTATCAATGGGAATATCAGTCAATAGAAAAGGCATATTTGAATTAATTATTTTGAAGATTAATTCAACTTAAAATGCCTGGAAATCGTAGGGTGAGACGCACATGTTGATATTTATTTGCACTAAGAAAGCTATTTTAAAAAACTAAACAAATTATTATTAATATTACATCACATTTTAATATCCACATCCATCCTGTATCTCCATAGCAACACAAGAATCCTGGCAGATAACTGGTTAATTGACATTCATTATAGGAAGTGTAAGTTAACATTTAAAACACTGTTAACTGAATGTCTTCGGGTTCAAAACAGTTTAACACAAACAATTCAAAGATGTTAGTTGTGAGAAACTGTCATGAGCATACTAAACAAAGTAATCAGCTCATTAAATAATAATAAAATAAAATCACCTTACTTACATGGATTAGTCATGTGGATGCTTGCATCTGCATGGAGGCATTCTATAAAAACATTGTGTAAATAAGCAAGCAGTTTTCTAATTATGGAAGAAAGGTTTGCAGAAATCATAGCAACAGCAGTACTGGATCTCTCCTCTGCAGACATTAAGCCACAGCCGGTAGAGATAAAATGTAGTGTTGAAAGTTCTTTCACAGTTTTATATAAATCACTACTGTCTTTCATCTCCCAGTATATATATTTTTTTTATTCTGTTAAATAGAAACACACTTTTGAAAAATCTGTCTGACTATCTGATAAAACAAGGGCTACACTTCTGCAGCTGGGAATTGTATAGTGCCACTAAAATAAAACTCCATTCAGCTCCTGCATTGATTTATTTCACTTGTTAACCTAAAGTGCAACAGCACCTGGAACAAGTCACAATCTATTCTCCCACCACCTATTCACCACTACACTGGGGAAACTATAGATCTCCATTAATCAGCTCTACATCCACAGACCATTATCATTATCATCATCATTCTTAGGTGATTTTATTTGATTCTCAGTGGAATGTGTTTGTGGTCATTACCTTAAAAGCAAAACCTCAACATAACAAGTAAATAAAAGAAATACCATGCAACAAATACTTGATATTGAGTAAATATGATGTATGAAAACAATTAAAATGAACAAGACCAGAATCGATCGTTGGGATGCTGCTGAAAGAAAAGCCAAGAAAAGTGAGATGTGAATAGAAAAGGTAAACTAACTAAGTCAAGCACAGGGAGAGTCATCAAGAGGATGCACTGAGTGAAGGTGCAGACAAACCTCAGGGAGACACTGTTGGCTGATTGGTCTTTGCTTCAGTGGTGTTTGTTCTTAAGCTTCTCTACAGGTACAGACACCACAGGGTCCTGACACACACACACACACACACACACACACACACACACACACACACACACACACACACACACACACACACACTCGTTCAGTTTGTATTCTTGTTGAGGACGTGGTAAGAGGGGTAAAGAGTAATTTCCCGTCTCACCCTGTCAGGATGGAGACGGTAGATTGCATCAGTGGCCGAAGCCGACATGATTTCCTGCACCACAATACTCAGATAACCAGCCTTACCTTGCCGCCTCACATTTGATTCATCTGTAAGCACGTATCCACAGATGATTCTGTTCTTAGCCATCACATCAACAAACATGTTTTTGTTACTTTTTATTACTGATCCAAACTCCGACCACTGAGCGGTATTAACTTTTCATTCATCAATATTGAAGGCATCTGGGAACAGACACGTATGTGCACTTACTTTCTAAATTATCTGTTTCTAATTTCTCTTCAGGCATATCAGTGAGCATCTCCACATTTAGCCTGGTTGCCATAGCAATTGAACGCTATAGTGCTATCTGTAACCCCTTGAAGTCACGAGTGTGGCAGACCCGGTCCCACGCCTATCGGGTGATCGCTGCCACATGGGTGCTGGCGTTCATCATCATGATCCCCTATCCAATCATCAGTCACCTGGAATCTTTTCAGCGCCCCGACAACACCACAGCGCACCAGTGTCGCCACAAGTGGCCTCTGCCGATCGCCGAGCAGACCTGGTGAGTGGCTCTAGAGTGGCGTGTGTTTGTATTCTGTATTGTTCGATAGTTTAACTGAAACAATGGAAAATAATAATATTGATGATCATACTTTATATAGCAACTTTCAAAACACTGTTGCAAAGAATTTTACAAGTTAAAATTGAAGAGTTGAATACAAACAATAGGGAACAATTATAAACAGTCCAAAGATCCCAGAGCATCTGGACAGATGTGTAAGAATAATAGTGTTATATACGAGAAAAAAGAAAAGATAAATTGGAATAAAACATTCTAAAATGATTAGAGACAGAAAAAAATACTACATGTGGTGCAAGGTTTAAAAGTTCTTCTTTTAAAGTTGAAGGTAAATTCCTGAGTCCTGAGAAAGCACACTTGTAAAAATGTATCATTAAGAGGGGTTTACAAGAGGATAAAGAGTCTGTCAGACAGATGTCCTCAGGGAGGTTGTTCCAAAGAGTGGGAGCCCTGACAGAAAAGAGCTGCTCACCCCGGGTCCTCTGCAGCCGAGACTGTGGAACATCGACTGGAATATTGAATTTGCCTTTTCTTCAGTCATTTGCTTTTAAAGCTTTGAATCAGATTTGACTTTGTCGTTCTAGAATAGTAGAACAGAAGCACAGACGAGCCAAGTTGCTCATTAATGTCAGTTACACAACATCTGTGTTCATTAATTGACATTACAAAACACACACACACACACACATACACACACACACACAGGCTACTTTAATGTCGGCAGTTTATTTAACCTGCTTGTCTTTGGACTGTGGGAGCAAAGCAGACAAAACCCACGCAGGCACAAAGAAGGACATCTAAACTCCACACATACAGGACCCAGTCAAATCGGTGTTCAAAGCCCCGGGACCTTCTGGCTTCGATTTGATGGTGCTAACCGCTAGAGCATCGTGCCGCCCTGACCTAACAAAATCAACTGAAAGATTCTAAAATGAAAAGTGACAGTGGTGGAAGAAGTAGTCCATCATACAAAATACAATGAAGATGATGCAGACATTCCCGTCAGATTGTAATTGCCAACTTTATACGAACTAATAACAACAAACAGCACAGTTGCTGTTTATCTTTTAATTCACTGAGCTTTTCATCAGTTAAACGCCAACAGCCGACGACAGCACATAAAATGCAACTTACCATAAAACTTGCAGTCAGGTCATCCATCTTGTTTACCGTCCCAGACCTTGTTGTGTGGCCAATGTGCCGTCTCATTCCAGGTAAACCTTAAATGAACCTGGAGCCTCTTTTTAGCACCTCTGTCTTTTTTTATGGAAATGGCAGATGTACAGCGCAGATGGAGTTTCGCTGTGTTTTTGTTTTGGACTTAGGATGGAAAGAGCTTCAGGGTAATTTTCAGTATCTTTGTGTATTTTTGAACAGCTGAGAATCATGACTTTGGATGTGTGTGTGTATTTTAGTGCCTTTGTCGTATCTGAATTTCAGTGGGTGTGTAAATCTACACATGGGCACTAGACCCTGTTTGTGTCTCCAATGAGCGTAAACCTCAGGACGAAAGAATGTCCCTGCCTGTATGAATAAAACAATCTTGTGATAATGATAAAAAGAGTATAACATTTATATTAAAATATCAAATATTACATATGAATGGTGAATGTTGATGTAATTTCTTTAAAAAATTGGCTTAGTTCCTTCTCTCGTCTCTCTTTTAGGTACATTCTGCTCCTGCTTGTGCTGTTCGCGATCCCGGGGGTGGTGATGATTGTGGCTTACGGCCTGATCTCCAGGGAACTTTACAGAGGCATCCAGTTTGAGATGGGCCACAAGAAAAACTCTACTGGTGAGGCGATGCACCACATGTGGAGAAAGGTTGCAGAGGGAGTGGCCAAACGTAGAAAATAATTACACAGGTTAACTCCAGCATGACTGTTGTCATTGTGACATGTAATCGAAGCTAAGTAACTAAGGCAACTTAGCTGGGGGCATCCTTTTTTTAAATTGAAATGATCAAAAGATACCAAAAGATAACTGGTATAAAGTGACACTATATTAAGCAAAGAGGATTTTCAACTGAGACGTGCCAAAATTTTAATTTCTAACTCTCCTTGACAACAATCTTCAGCTTGTCTTTCTGTGTACAGAGCACAAAGCACCATACACACAAATGCTGTATTTACTAGATTACATTAAATGACTGGATAACCTAAACAATCCCCAGAGGGACTTTTGCTGCACAAATGACAAAAGACATCATCAATTCTGTTCAGATGCTACGCTGCTGAAAAACAGACCTTTTTTGACTGTTTTGTCAAAGGCCTTTCTAGATAGGATGCAACAACAGAAATACTCTGAAACCCCGTTTTTCTGTGCGGAAGCGAGCAAAGCCTACCCGCAGCACAGTGAGCTCTCAGGCACTAATGAACACCAATGCAGAGAAATTAAGCCTCCAACCAGTGAAGAACGCACAACGGTGGAAAAGCTGGTTTCTGTGTTTCCCCAATTATGTGTTGCTGAGACCTCTGGAGGAAAGTTCAACCATGAAAACCCATTTTGAGTCAAGTGGAATGTCAGATGATGTAGTGTACTGTAATAAGAGAAATGTTTAAAGAAAACCACAGAAAACTCCGTCCAATTTGCTCTGAACTCAGCAGCTACATCGCAAATCACTTTCTATCTGAAAAGGTAGAAGGTAGAGATACAACAAATAAACTATATAAATGTACCTAATCAATACATTTTTCCTATTTCATTTTAATTATGTTACAATCATTTAACTGTTGAGTCAAATTATGTTTCACTTGACGATCACAAAAATGTCATCACACCATCGACTCAACTCCTTTTTGTTTTGTTTTTTTGATTTATGTTAATGAGGAGGAATTTCATTTTAATCAGGAGGATTCCATTAGCCCCACAATCAGTGTGATGTGTTCAGGTTAATTGTAACATAACCTTTAGTGGACAGTGTGATCAGGATGGATGACAGCGGCCTGGAGTCTGTTTGCTGGGGCTCCATTAGAGGATGGAACTGGCTGGCAGCTGCTGGCCTGGACATCACCATCTGTTTGGTCTATGAGAGAGAAATAGGCTGCCTAAAAAAAGAGCTTGAGAGACAAGCATATGGGGGGGGGACAGGAAATTAGGCGGGAAAGGATAACACGTGTTTTATTTAATCCAGGCACGATTTAGCAAACACACTCTCTCCACAGCACCACTTCCTGTTTGTATTCGCTTGCTTGAGGCCTCTTATTACTGCATCAGCGTGCTTTGTGCTCTGCAGGATTACAACAGTTTTTATCAATAAACTCCCAGTCCCAGTCTCTCCCGGTCAATCAGAACAAGTTCGAGCAGATTTTCAAGTGCAGGCTCTGGTCACTCAAATCAATTCAATGCCTCACATCAAAGCTGGTTAGTGTTCATCAGGTTGTGGATTTTATTTCCTGTGGATTTTCTTTTCACAATAGGATCAAAACCAATTATGTTGTTGTCATGATGATCGCATCTGTGCCGAGCGTCAGACACGCCCACTGTCAAGCATTAACACATTATGTATATACATGTGAGTGCCAAGTTAAACTTTGTTGTACAAAGGTAGTGCTAGTACATACTGCATTTTTGTAGTACAAGTAGAAGCTGAGATAAGTACCTCAAATACTGACAAATCCTTTTGTATATCTAAACTCATGATTCAAGTTTTAGTGATGTGCAAATGTATCCAAAAATTGGCCATGACTGACAGCTTCATTAATACTTCAGGCACAGATCCTCCCATCTCTTCAATAATGTGGGTAGAGTTCATCTGGCTCCAAATTCACAGATATCTTGTCCTCTGTCACTCTGCTCTTACAGATGTGAAAAATGGCCTGACCTCTACTGTGTCTTCTGGGAGCGATGATGGAGACGGCTGCTACGTTAATGTCGTCCAGCGGCCACTCGCCATGGAGATGTCCACCATGGTTGCATCGGGCCGGTCGGTCAAGGCAGAGCGGCCACGCAGCAACACATCTGAGGCCAAGCTGGAGGCCAAGAAGCGAGTCATCCGCATGCTGGTGGTCATCGTTGTGCTCTTCTTTCTCTGCTGGATGCCGCTGTACTGTGCCAACACGTGGCGGGCTTTTGACGACATCTCTGCCACGCATGCCCTCTCAGGGGCCCCGATCGCTTTCATCCACTTGCTGTGCTACACCTCGGCCTGCGTTAACCCAATCATCTACTGCTTCATGAATACACGCTTCCGCAAAGCCCTGCTCGCCACGTTCTCATGCTGCGCCACGCCTTGCCGCCGCCGCCGTCGTCATGGGCTACGGGACAATGAGGAGGATGTTATGGCAACGGGGGCGTCCATGTCTAAGTTCAGTTACACTACAGTCAGCACCATGGGAATCTGCTGAGGCAGATGAATGCAGGCGCAGTCCAGGACAGACAGTTACTACGGCAACACAGCACCCCACATCCTTTTACTTTAGGTCAACTCTGCGCTCGTCCCCCCGAGATGTGATGTGGAGTGAAAATAAAAACAGGCCGTGTGATGTAGCTGTGCAGAAGTTGCTCATGTGAGTGTGAGTAAAATGATGTAGGGATTACTTAATGATACCCCATCTCACAGTCTAAATACCTTCATAGTTATATTAACAAAAGCACAGAAACACAGCAGATGGTTCTCTCCTCACAGAGGACCAAGGCAAACGCATACGTGTGTGTGTGCGTGCGTGTGATGCTCGTGCAGAGGAAATGAGCAGCGGTGAGCTGTGTGATATGTGGGGGACGCACAACTGTAGCCATTAAAATCTTTTTATTGTTTGCTGTCAGTTGTTAGTGTTAATCTGTGTTAATGATGGTTAGCAATTGCCTTGTGGACTAAGTGCCTGCTACTAAATACTACGTTATGTTTGTCTGCTGTTGATTTGCCTCACTCATTACAGGCCATCGTAAATACAGGAGAGGAAATGAAGTCGAGTTTAAACAAAATGAAAGTTCTACACGTCTGCGTTGATTGCAGAAAGAAAAACTCCAGAGGTATAAACTGTTTACAGAACAGGGAGAGTGTTGATGCCTTGTGCTGTGTTCGTAAGCTGTGATGTTAGTCATCTTATTGTAGTTTTCAGATTCTTCTGAGTATGCTGCAATGCTTGTTGTGTCCTTGCCACTGGCCACATATGAACTGGGTCTCTTCCTCATATTAGGTTCTCACGGCTGAAGATATTAAACCAGTGCAATCACATCTGAGTGATGATAAGAGACTACTCAATGAACTCTACATTGTTTTATTCCTGATACCATGAGAGAAACTCCATGAACTCCCCTGAGTACAAGAGAAAAGACCAAAAGTACGAGTTTTAAAAGATAATCTGATGTTATAAGAGACAATTGTTGCCAATGAACACAATGGACACTTATATGTGTAGGCAGACAGTATATTTTTTATCATAACAATTGACAGTAGCTTTACCACCAAATATTAATGTAATGTAATATAATGTTTTTGTAATATAATGTATAAAGTTCATGGTATTAGTAGATTGGAGCTTAGAGCTGCACACTGCAGAAATAACCCACCACAGCTACCACGTCCGACAGCACCAGCCATTACCTCTGTAACTAAAATATAATATGTCAATGATATTTTATTGTGACACAAAAGTCAAGTAAATCTAAATTATTGTAGAAAACAATTGCAGACTCAAAAAATGATGCATTCTACCATAAGATTTGCATAAGTAGCCTCATTCATTCTAAATCTGTAGTTTGAATTTGCTGTTAATGTTATTGCATTTCAATGACTGAGTTTCTTTGTCTTTCTCTTTGCATTCTGAACTTTGTAAAGACAAACCTTGTACTTATTATTTTAATATACTGTACCACGCAACTCATTAGACTCATAATGATACAATATATGACCTGAACATGAGGCTCAATCAAGACGCCACGTGTCCATGTTAATTCTGTTGTACAGTAGCCTGTGTGTGCAGTAAAATGTTACCATTGTGTTATCATATATGTTCTGTATGACACCATTGAAGAGAGATTTTTGTGCACAGTAAGTTCTCTGCAGCCTAACAGTGCGTTTTGAGGACACGAGGATCAAGCTCCTGCAGCATTGGGAATAAGTTCAGTGACTTGTTGCTGTTGAGCTCACCTGCAGGTTAAAGAGAGACAGCCAGGTTTCAAAGGTCTCTGGTCGTCAGGCCCCGGTGAGCACGGCTGACTCTGACTGCCTCCCGCAAACACACACACACACACACACACACACACACACACCCAACTCACGTCGCAGTAATTGTGTTACAACCTCAACCCTGCCAGGCTGAGAGGATGAGCATATTTTTCTGAGTGCACCAAAGCACAATGCTGTCACTCTCTCAACTATAGATGTATGAGCTGCACTTGTGGGAATTTGTTTTTTGAGAAATATTCTATATCAGTCTGCAGCTTTTGTAGTTTATTGTGTACACTGTCCCCTTTGTGTGTCAATCATACTGATGTATTACTGCAGGAGACTACATGCATGGAGCTTCATCAGCAAAAAACTCATTTTGTGCTCTAAAAAATTTGACATAAAAAGTCTCACAATTTTATGTGCTAAGTAATCTGCTACTCCTGTTTCTATATAATAACATTTAAAATAATAATGTCTGTGTGTTTGTATTTGACTCACACATCTCAAGAACCATTCGTCTTATTGGCTTCACGCTGTGAATGTGAATTCAACGGCCCGAGGAAGTGCAGTGTTGAATTTTCTGCAATTAGGACACATTATACTACTCAGTGACGTTGTCGATCACGTCAACAACAGTTTTCCAGTTCAGGGTCCGTCGAGCTTCACTGAACTTTGAATCAACAGGTGAACAGTTCTTTGTGCAGCAGCAGGTTTGTTCAGACTGAGTCCTGCAGCCAGTCTTCACTTGCTGCAGCTCAGTTACTGCAGGTCACTTTTGCAGTTTCAGACAGAAAGCTGCAACCAGTATTAACACAGGCCAAGCAAACAGCACATTGAGGACTGGAATAATTTGTCCAATGCAGTGACTCAACCTGTACAACCTGCACACGTGTAACATAGAGAGGAGAACAGACTAGAGCTCCATTGTCTAAACACCAGACACACACTCATTGAGCTGCTGATGTTGTCTCGAGGCTTGATGGCCTCTGTGCAGATTAATGCAGGGGGACCAGGCTTTTGTCTGTATGGCTTTGATCTTAAATATACTCATAAAAGCACATTGGTTTGGGATTGTGATTGACAGGCTGTGTTTTTTTCAAATTGAATTGCCTGCCTGATCTATCAGTCCCATTGTTACATTAGGAAAAAGCAGACATTACTTACTGCGGCAGAAGTTCTGCAGTAAATCACAGACGTATTTATGTGACCGCTTGTGTTTCCCAGATTGAAAAATACTATAACGCAGACGTCTGAGTTGTTGTTTATGAGTGACACTTGCAGTGTTTTGTTTTTTTCTGTAAAGCTGCCAGAGGCTGAGTTCTCTGAGGGATCACAGAGGCTGTCTGACATTATGACTTGTTCAACAGAGTATACTACAGATTAAACTGGTTATCATGTACTCGCTCACAATCAATTACAGATATGCCACCTAATAAGTTTTGTTTCCATCTACGCAAAATTAATACTGGCCACGAAAATATAAATACTGTAATCACTAAATTCTCAGTAGATAGTGGTTGGATCTTAATGAGAATACAGATTTAGGAAACAGGAAATAGGTAATAAGTAATTGCTTTTAATGCTTCAGCTGAATGTGTATATTTTAGGCAACTGTTAGCTAACATGTTAGCCATAAGAAAACAGGGACAATATGCTAATGTTGTGTTTTATGCTCATAACTCTGCCCCAAAGAGAAGTCAAGAAAAAACCTTTTAAGGTTGGAGGTGCAAAAACTAGTTCCAACCACCAACTGATGATGGGGCATGTCAGAGTAATTACAGGGCATAACAATTAAAATCCCATTTGCCTCCACTGTATTGCAATGTGATCAGGAAACTCAGAGGCAGGAACACAAAACCAAAAATACCTGCACAGCTGGATCAGTACATGTATAGCTGAGAAATGTAACGTTTTTTGTAGTCGGTTGATCCAAATTATAAACATCATCAATACATACTGACCTTGTCAGTGTTGCAGGAAGTATAAACCTCTGATGTAAATTATTTATCGTTTAATGCTATAATGTATAGGTTACAAAAACATCAAAAACAAAGGTTTAAGTGTACTAATCGATATCAAAGATTCTCCTCATTGTTAATCATCAACATCAGTCATCAATCATGTTGAGCCAAGACAAAGAGTTCTAAAAACATGATAAGACCTTCCTCACTCTTCTGATTATCATGTCTCTGTTGCTGCATGCACCTCCCTCTCCTCTCCTCACAAAGCTGTCACTGGTTATGCTGAGTAATTTCTCCACTTCCACCTTCACCTCCCCCTCGTTCTAGCTTCTTACCACAATGCTTTACGATGACATTGCTTTAGCACTATATGTGCCCGTATCTCAGTGAAATGTGTGTAGGGCTCTTGGGCGCATAATTGGTTTCCGTGCTGGAACTCTCACCGCTGCTCAGACTGAAGAGCACAGCCCATTCCTCCAAATAAAAATGCAACCATTTGTCACAATGCACAATGTCAGTGATGAAGAGTGTGGCTGTGGTCGGTGGCAGTGCTGCTGCTCAACGATAACGATGTTGTCCCCAGGTGTTAAAAAGAAAGATAGAAGAAGGGATGGCAGTTTAAGTGGGGTTGTAATTGTTATATGTGAGCGGAGCTGAAGTTTGAGGAGCAAATTTGCTTTTAGTTTACAGCACTTCCAGATGCTAAACAATCTGTTTAGCATAAGATGATTAGATGACAAAGATTGAATATAATCCATTTGGCTTTAGGTTTCACTGACATTTGTTTTTTTTTTTAGGAGACAGGGTTGTGTGAGCACTGCAGTGTCTCTCATTAATTGATAATGCAGGAGCTTTCTGTGTTAATTGCACTTTTGTAGTGAAAATTCACAACAAATGTCAAGAGGTTCGCAATTTATCGAACTACCAATTATACACAGTGAGTTTGGGGCTTTCAGGATCCCTGGAGCTCTGCAGTCTCGGGACAGCCGCCAGCTTCACCAGATTTATTACTTGTAGACATTTGCTGATAAAATGAAGAGCTCATATTTGGCAGAACAAAGGTTTCATTGTCCCTTGAAAGAACTAGGGGGGAGGGGAATAGAAATACACTGTAGCCTATTTTTAAAGCTGCCACAAACATCTTTGCTATTGAGTCATCAAGATGAACAGATCTGGCAGCTCTCGGGCACATGCGCAGCAGTTTGCATCGTGAGTTATGTTTTAATGAAGTCTTCAGAGTTGTAATGTAATGAAGACAAATCAATCGTTTCAGCCGTCATATCATTATGATCCATGTGGACTGGGAGTCATATTGTGGAACATGATGATGAGGATTTAAGATGGAGGGATTTGAAAGTTCAACATCTGGGTATCGTCTCATTAGTGCTGTTGTTTACCGTCTCTGGGTGGATTTTGTATTAGTGTAACCATCTTGTTGTGGATGTGTTGAGACACAAAAGCCGTCTTTCGCAAGAAGCCAATATAAATTGGCTTCCATCTGCTCCATATTTGTGCACGTACCTGCTCACATATATTATTGTTAAATATGCTGTAATTGTACCAAAATCAGGTGTTAGTAGTACAAAATTCAATATTCTCTTTTAATATTTGCCGAGTGATGAAGGAATTAGGAGCTGATTTTGCTTTTCAGTGACATGGAGCAGTGTGCCATGTTTCTTAGCAGCTTGTACAGGCCGTAGGCTCGTATGGGATGAGCAGGGATAAAGGCTTAGAGAAGCATACAAGGGCAAATTTATTACTCGAATGGTCAGAGTTGACAGGCCACCATTGCCTTAAGTGTGTTTTGAGTGTACAGTATCTGTGTGTGTGTGTGTGTGCGTGCGTGCGTGCGTGTGTGTGTGTGTGTTTGTACAGTGTGTTCTTCATACATTTACTGTGTATGCATGAGTCACTTTTGTTTGAGGCAAAGCAGAAGATGAAAGCATTACAACAGTGTTGTTTCTCCATCCATAGAAAAGAGTTTGGGCAAGCACTCTGGATACTGACATATTCAGGGTTGGCTTGACATCGTCAGACGTCTGTGGGTAAACGCTAATGAAATGGGGGCTTGCTGCAGCAATTATCAGTGGGAGATATTCAATGTGATTTTTCTTGGCTGCTTTCCATGTGTCTTTGACGAGTACGTTCGTGCTGCTATGACGCTGCTAGGCCTTTGGTGTTTACATGTGGTTTGGAATGTGTGATTTTCCGTTCTGGTGTGTGCTCTGGATGGAGGAGGTTCAACAGGTCTACCTCCCTTATAACAGCAAAGATTCATTGCTATTATGATTGTTGTCAAAGTCATTGTTTATTGCTTCTGACTTGACAGACCGGAGAGTCTGCTATCCGTCGCTGCATTTGTATATTCTATATATGGGGAGTGTGTGTGTGTGTGTGTGTATGAGAAAGTGCTAGAACCAGTAAGTATAGAACATAAAGAATAGGCAGATTTTTGTGGAATTAGTGGCATATGATCTTTGAAGTATTATGCTGACTAATGTGGCTTATTAAATTATCTCTCTCTCTCTCTCTCTCTCACACACACACACACACACACACAGAAACTGTTTTAATTGTCTTTGTACAACTGGGTGATTATCCAGCTGGTGATTTGCTTTTGTTTTTGTGTGTAATGTTATTCGATTCTAATAAAGTCTCTATGTCAAATTGTACCAACTATTCTCATTCAGCCTCAATATGACTTTGAAATGCTGCTGCACCTGTACAAAGTAAGATATTATCATGCACTGTGGATGCTTTTTATTTGTTCAAAGTCCCACTCCAGTAGTTAATCACACCCCTTAAAGTATTTTCCTCAAAATAATATATTCATAGGGTTTGTCGTGAAAATAAAATCCACTTGTGGCCTGAATATGTCCAAAATGCAACTCTTCACGTTGGATCCTTATTTCATGGCTAGGATGTATGAATATGCTCATGTTGCTCTGTCTGCACCTCCCATTTCTCCATCGTCACAGCTCTCAGTTGAGGAGCCACACCAACATCACAATCCTTGTCTTTAGACTGGCATTTGGTTACTGCAGAGTTAGGGTGGAAATAGCCAGGCGCAGTTTAAAAACCTGCACCAGTCATTCATCATCTGACTTAGTCTCAGCTCTTCTA